CCTTTAACTCGAAATTACTAATTAATTATATTGATGACTATTTTGGAGGAATGGCTTGAACTAATGGAATCATTAGAGGGGATTACACAAAAGGAGAATAAGCTACCATTTCTGGAAAGTTTAGTACATAATAAAAGATAATTGCTTTTCGAGCCTCCTAGAGAGAATGAGGGAAAGTATATATCTATCAAAAAGCGCAGATTTCGGAAGGAAGTGGAAGCTTATAATTCTGTATACAAGGAACCCAACATTCCTCAGTCAGGCCTAAATTTAAACATTTTTCCAACTTTCTTTCTCTATTCTCGTGCTATGAGGTATAGTGCTTATGTGGCAATTTCTATGTTTGAGATATCCCCCGGCCCATCTACAAGAGGTTATCTGAAAACAAAAGCGCCTCTAAAGGTCTATGGGTCCGATAATCATCAACAGATTACGCCATAGCACCGAATGTTGCAGACTATGGGAATTTGACATATAATCGCAGGATTGGTGAGTATATAGTGAAGAAATAAACAAACATACAACATCATAAACAGAGGATCAAGTGTATGAAATTGAGTGGGACTTGTCTGTTGCCTTTGGATGGGCTTAAGGACAGGGATGGAGGAGGGAACTGTAATAACGACAGGGCAGGGAGAAGAGGTCAGAATGACCTCGAATCTCACCTCACAGGGTTTTAATATTTTCTACATACAAGAAACAATACCACATTAGAGGATTGAACGCTGGTTTATGTATGCAAAGAAAAAGCTATAACACATTTATTTCCTCTTGCTGCATCGACTTCACTAAGAAAGTATTATAGACAGTAAATAGCCAACAAACTCATGTGATGCCTTATTGAGAGCGCAAAATTAGGTTTAAGAAATGAGTGTGTTTGATGCCAGGCCACTTCTTGCTTGGTCATGTGCATCAGTGAAGATTTTTGTTAACTTTGGTTTTCAGCACTGATCATGTCCGCCACATAAAAGACGAGATCTCAGCACAGCTTCATCAAAGTATGCCGAGGATTTCTTGGCAAAATCCATTATGCTTCTACTGGTTCAGTTTAGGCCCGTTGAATCCTTCTCAGCCAAGTTATTCTTAAGAATTAAAGTCGAGTCCACCACGACACAGATCCATTCACATATTCATAGATTTCCTGGGAATATCTCCCATCATCTTGTAAGAGCACTTGGTTTAGACCATCCTTGCGCAAATTAGAACAACCAATTACTACTAAACTTATAGTATCATCAACATAACCTTTTAATATGCCCCCTTCTCTACAGGAGCACTTTTTTATTTTGCCAGGGAATAAACACGCCATGTTCTTTTCTACTTCCTGGCAGGCACAGTCTGGGAGAAGCAGAATCCTTTGGTACGTGACGACGTCTTCGGTGGCCCCGTGGACACTCATGTGGCCTCAAATATTCGGCCCGGAACCTACCTGGCCGAAGGTTCACTGCAGCGAACCGGAAGCGATACAGCTAATACTGTTGCAGCCGGCGGCGGACCTATCGGTCCCGGCAGTCCTACTGGCAGCGCTGGAGCCGGATTTGGGGGCTTAGCCATCGACAGTTTGGAGGTGAGTGGAGGCAACCGGCGTGGCAGCTTTAGGTCCAGCTTCCGACGCAACAATCCGGCAAGCAGTACCGGAGTTGCCGGGACCACGGATCAGGCCCAGATGGGCTTCGATGGGCACCCAACCGTGGGCACAACGATGCTTCGCCAGCCACTGCCAGTTGGAGAGAACACATTTTCGAATGCCGCGCTGGATAGCAGTCCAGAGTCCAAACAATATGGACAGGTGAGTCTTGCTCAGGCTCGAGAACTTTCTAGACCACTCATGTAGACAAGCTCATTCAACGGCCGAGCTTTATGGGCTGACAGTACATCTTTTAAACCAGATACGTATCATTATTGCCTATTACAAACTATTCGTCTGCCGATCCTTTCTTACGGCTTGTTGTCGGTTTGTCTAGCGGCCATTTTTGTGCTCAATTCCACTTCATGTGAAAGTGAGCAACTAAAGATCGAGTCCATTAGCAGACGACAGTGTATATGTACATATGAGGGCACAATGTATATGTGCGCTTCTAGATTAAATATAACTTGAACTAACCGGATAATGGCATGTTTAATTAAAATTCCTCAGTTTAGGGGCAGTTTGTTAAAAAAAGCACCACCCTTTTTTGGTCAAAATGGCAAAAATTAAAACAATTCGATATTATATATAAGATAGCTGTATTTTTTTAAATTATTTTACATTTCTGTTTTTTTATATAAGTTTAATTTGGGCTATTTTATCATTTTCTAAACTGTTTTGTCAAAAAGACGCACCACTAGCCATTTAATATTTTGTTGATTCACAAACAATAGCTCGTTTGTGAAAACTTTTAGCCAATCTTATTGTCATATCCGTGGTTATTTCTGCCAAAGACGTCTTACTTGCATCTTTAAATTCGTTGATATTTTTAGGCTTCAATATGTCTATTTTAGACTCATAGGTTTCCAATTGGGTTCATGTATGGTGATTGAGCAGGCCAAGGCAATAATTCCACAATTCTTTCTCTCAAAAACTCTGATGCCAGCTTTGATGTGTATTTTGGGTCGTTGTCTTGCTGGAAAATGAACTCATTCAAACCAAAGAGGTTATTGCAAAGGATGCGCGCATATTGAATAGCATCTATTATATCCTCTATAAACGCCAACTTTCCAACTCCATAATATGGAAAACATCACCGCACCATTTCACTTCCACCTCCATATTTGACAGTTTTGTCAATATGTTGAGACAGAAGTTTTGTTCCAGGCTCTCTCCACACAAAGGACTTGCTATCGGAGTAAAACAAGTTGAATTTTGACTCATCACTGAATATGATGGACTTTATTCCCTCTATTTCCATAAATAACCACTTCTAGGCCAATTCAAAACGGAGGTTGATATTTAAAAAAATCAAAAGTGGTTTCTGAATGGGATGATAGGCAAACATATCAATACTATTCAGGATATTATCAACAGAAACGTAAGATATAGAGGATCCAGTTTCTGTTGAGACAACTGATTAAAGTTTTCTTAGTGATTTTTTAGGATTTTCTTTAATTTCCTGTTTTAACACGTTTAAAACCTGTGGAGAAGAAACTTTTGGTCTGCCATTTATACCGATATGATTAAAAGTATGGTATTTATCATACTTTTGCTTTGGTACGAATTAATGTAGAATGGCAAATGTCAAACATTCTGGCCACCTCCCTTGTCGAATGACCAAGCTTCAGAGTTTGAATTACATGAGCTCGAGTCACATTATCAAGTTGCTTAATCATGGTTGTCTTGACAAGCTCTAATTTATATTTTAAAAAGGCGGAAAACCAATTTTAGTAAAGTAGTGCGTTTTTTTAAACAAAAATGTTTACAAAATCACTATTTTCAAAATTATAAAGCCGGCATCAGAGATTTTAGAGAAATAAATGTGGAATTAGTGCCTTGGCCTGCTCAATCACCATACATGAACTCAATTGAGAACCTATA